TTAGCTGCCATACGAAGCCAATAACCCCTTTACAACTTGCTTATTCATAATTGTGACTTTTCTAGGTTTAATTTCTTATTAAATGATTTTGGTACTACGGCTTTCATGTTTTCTCTCCCCACCCAGTAAATCCCCAAGCCCTGCATTTCTCTCTGTTACTGAAGTAACTGGAGATCAATACTGCACAGGGCAGACCGCCTTACTTAGGTTTACCTGAAGTGAAGGCCGATGCGCCTGCTATGTGTATGGTTCTGGTAGGCAGCAGAAGAGAGGGGTTGTCCCTCCCCAAGCCTGAAGGCCTCCACAGAGGAGAGTGGCGGAGAATCTGGTGCCTTAGCCACTTATAAAGACTTAAACTGGGCATGCTCTAATTCAACCCCCAGGCCAGGTGAGCAGTGTATCTGGGCCGCCCAAACTAGGCCCAGGTGGGCTTGATTCATCCAATCGGGTCGACCACGCCTCCCCAGCCAGAGGTCTGAATACCATGGCTGCAGGGCCAAAGGCCCTTTCACCCTTGGGTCCCTGTCTTCTGCCCTTGACCCTGCTGCTGCGCCCGCTTGGCAGTGCCACTGTCTCTGGACTCAGGTCACCACATATGGGTGAGCAGTCCCACAAGGTTGCCGGGTTCAGTGGTGAGCCCCGGAGCGGCTTATGCGTGGTTTGGCACACTTCCCTGAAATAGCATGTACTTTTGAGACTGTAAAACCTGAAACTTCTCCTGTTCTTTATAAAAACCCACTTGGATCACAAACGAGGCTTCAGCGTGAATTCTTTCTCATGTGAAGAACTGAGGTGTTTCCCACCTGAGAAATCTGACAGTTCTGATGCTCACACCCTTAAATTGCACGGAAGCCCTGCCTTTTTAACTATAGCCCCCATCAGGAGCCCGGAGGGACAGTGTGGCATCCTTCTCCAGCACTCGTACACGAACCTTCACACCACTAGCATCTCTCTCAGTTACCTGTAGAGGACAGTCCCTGCAACCTCTCACCCAGGTGGAGATGACGGCAGCCCGCTCCAGGTGACTTACAAGCCCTCCACACGCAG